ACAAATAATTCCCTAAACTATGACATGTTTGTATTTTGAAACCACGCAAACGAATTTAAGTGTTTGTAAATCTTGCGCGTAAATCTACAAACTCCGCTGTTTACGTTATTCGTCTTTACGTTGAATTCCCGCGACATTTCTCGCCGTTAAACCGATTCTTTTACGATTTTCGCGTTCCAAATGCGTCCTCGCGTCGTATTTACGCGCGTACAATTTAATTCTACGCGTCCGTGCCGGAATGGAAGCGGTTTTTGGTGCGTTTCGGGGTGTTTTTAGACGTTTGGCGCGGCGGTGTGTCGGTCTTTTTTTTTTTTTTTTTTTTTTTGAGTTCGAAGCGGAGAAGAGAAACTGTGCTGTTCTTGTGCGGGGAGGGAAAGAGAGAAGGAGGGAGGGAGGGGGAGGAGAGAGAGAGAGAGAAGCTATACCACTCAGGAATGTACATACTATAGAAAGTCTCCCCGCCCCCCGCGCTATGGACGCATTCCATAGGGGGCAAAACGCGTCCCCGAAAGTTTGAGAGCGCGTTCCGCCGTGCGCCCGGAGAAACGCGGCACGGAGCGGCAGAACGCGCGCGCGGGGATGGGGGGGACACGCTTTAGGTTTAACGCGGCGGTTACTTGGGGGGGAGCAGCAGGTTTGTTTAAGTAACAACGGAGCGCGACGTATAGCGGAGTTCGGCCGCCGCTGGCTCCGGTCCAGTAGAGTAGGACGCACGCGGTAGGTTCGCGGCGTAAAACTGCGCAAAAGAGGAGCTCGAGGCGGTGAGAATGCTTTGTTTTTGTTTGTTTATTGACGTGATTTTTCACAAAAAGTTGGATTTCCCACGTGGAGTTTTACGTTAATCTCGTGCGTAACCAATTTGGAGCGGTCAGGGCAGGTTGTGATTGAACGCCATGTTGTAGCAAATGGAGTGGCCGTGAGTTTTGGCACTTTACGCCGTTTCTCTGCCGCGGTTCAGGAGTTTACGAAGCTTTTGGGGAATCCAGGTCCAAAAAGTTATTATTGGTGTAAAAATAGAAATTGTAATTTTTGATTCTTGGGTCCAAATGTGAGTTTGAGGGATCAGAGTCCTGCTTTAGAAAATGGCGGATTGAGCCTGTCCAAAACATTCAAGAAGGAGCTGGAGTTTTTAGTCCACGATGCGTAATTACGCACGTGGAAAAATTGGTTAAAATTAAACTAAATGACTCATTTTGGGAGTTCTTATAATTTTAGGTGTTAGGAAATATTAATTATTAAAAAATACAATTAATAAGAAAATACTAGAAATTATCTTTAGGTTTATACTCAAAATATTTGAAAAAAACAGGCCTGGAAATTAGTAAAATATTGTTCTAATTTTGTTTATTTTTGTGCAATAAATTAAACGTTTTCTCCACAAGCTGCAGTTTTAGATAATTTAAATTTCCAATTTTAATTTAGTAATAACTTAATGGAACCAAGCCAAAATTTTGCAATATTTATTTCTATTTTTAAATTTTTTTTGCAGAATTTTCACTTGCTTCATTTATGATTTTACATTTTTCAAAACTGATTTGTGTGTGGTACATTTTCAGGCGTGCACTAAAAATGTTCTAAAAGGTAAAAAATGTGGAAATTTACAGAAAAAATATATAATTTGTGTGTGTTTTGTGAGTTTTAGCAGAAAACGAGAGCAGGTTCTGTAAGTTTAATGTTTGAGTGTGAATCTTTTGATCCTCGCTCACACTCCACTCAGGAAAAAAAATAAAAATACTCCCTACGCTTTCACAAAAATGTAAAGAATTCCTTTAGAAAATTCCAGAAAATTCCCTTAAAGAATCGTCTGAGGGTTTGTAAACTCTCCTCTGGTTTGTGTCCCGTCACTTTTGTTTTTTGTGGGTCAGATCAGAATCGATTCTGTGTTGGGATAAAGTTTTGTTTGCGCTCGGCGGCTGCAGCCGAGTCGACTTGAGGTTTTTCCAGCCTCTGGTCTGTAAACGGTGCGACCTGAGCCACTTCAGGTCCCCGCAGGACGAGAAGGTGTCGAGACCAGAGCCACGGATCTGGATTTAGAGCAGAAATGGGTTCAAAAGCTCAGAGAAAACGGGTTAAAGTCGATTTTTCAGGTTTGTTTGTGTCGTTTTGTCGATTAATCGGTGAAAAATGCTCCATGTTGTCGATTAATTATTACGTTTGGATCATGAGGACTAAACCAGGACTAAACCAGGACTAAACCAGGACTAAACCAGGACTAGACCAGGACTAGACCAGGACTAGACCAGGACTACAGTGCAACTAAACCAGGTCTAAACTGGGACTGAACCAGGTCTAAATTAGAACTAAACCAGGACTAAAACAAGAATGAACTGAGACTCATTAGAATAAACTGAGACTAGACCAGGACTAGACCAGGTCTAGACCAGGTGGGTCTAGACCCTAAGTTGGACTCTGTATTTAGTGTTTTGCTGTAATTAAAAATCGTGTTCAAAGTCGATTTTTCAGGTTTGTTTGTGTTATTTTGTCGATTAAGCGGTTAAAA